TGCAACGTCCTCCTCAGACTCTAGAAGCACTTCGAGAGGAGTTGGTGGTTGCCTGGAATGAGATACCGCAGGAGGACATTGACCACCTGATCAGAAGCATGCCTAGGCGCGTTGGAGAATGCGTAGCACATCAGGGTGCATCCACACATTATTAAAGGTCAAAGGGCTTTAAAGCAGTGCAATCATTTTGAAATTTTTGTCATTTACTTATTATGCTTCATTAAGTACTTATACAAAAATTTCATTAAAATAAAACCATTTAAACTGGGTGTTCGGATTTATATGTCACTTAGTATATGTTGCTATAAATTTCTAACGAAAAAGTATTTAAAGAACCTCAAGTTGAGATAACGTAGTTTTTCTAAATATATTACGTTTCTACCGACATTCTTTGTTTGAATTTTCTGTAGAATTTACAGCTAACAGCGTTGCTTGTGTGATAGAGCTATTAGATTTGGATAGTTATATTAAACATAGAAGCGGCAAACGGCAAATAGGTATATTCCAAGGGTATATCGATATAGGAGTTCTATTAATATCTTCTGGAGTTCTGTCCGGTGATATACATAAGCATAATGCTATTCTGGTACAAAAGGTCAGAGACAAGAATTAATTATGTAAATTGAAATTCGGATATAGAAAATGTATGTAAATGCTCTTATTAAATGAGTACCTATGAATAGCGAAAGCTATAGAAATTATTTGCAGACGGTGATAACTGCTCTATAACGGAGTTCTCAAGTGCTTTGACGCAGGTGATTATGCGTAAAATCTTGTGATTATCTCATAATTTGTATACAGCGTTGATTTTAATGTGGCGGAAAACCTATTTTTCGATATATCTACTACTTGGACCGGCATTCGTATTACGTACCCTACAAAGTAGGTATATATTATTTTTTTTACATTCAGTGAGTTTTGTTTGTCTAACTGTTCCTGAAAGTTAGAGTTCCAAGAGCAAACACTTATAGCTACGCTCCTGGATAAAATCGACCGTCTATTCACGATTCCATTAGTTACTGTTGGAATCAATGATTAATGATTTGTTATGATTGTTTATTTACGATATATTCTGATGTACATCGCGCACCGTATCAATCAACTCATACATTTGTTTTTCGCAGGGCCATTAGTACTTAAATATCACTCCGCAAATATAAACGATAACGTAAAACTTTTTCACAAGTTTTTATTTAACTTGAGCTGTTCGTTAGTATGTTAATATGATTGTGTGGTACAAATCTTAGAATTTAATACTAAATCAGTTAAACTTAACCAATCGATCTGAAATTTTGTACACATATTTGGCGCGCGTCTCGATACAAAATTGATCAACCGTCGCCATTTTGAATCCAAAATGGCGATTCATCCTTTCTATAGTAAGTATCTAACGAAGGGCTCGGTGA